AAGAGGGGACACATGTTGATGTAGAAGAGACATGAGGAAGAGGGGACACATGTTGATGTAGAAGAGACATGAAGAAGAGGGGACACATGTTGATGTAGAAGAGACATGAAGAAGTGGACTCTGCGTAGTAGGTGACCTTTAAATGCTGTGGTGTGTAACCAGTGTCCCCTGTGCTTGTTCCCAGTGGGCCTGGCTTACTTTAACCTGGTGTACGACTGGGTGAAAGCGGCGGTGATGTTTGGGATCATCAACACGGTGTCCAGACTGGATCACCTGGACCCTCCCCGGCCCCCAAAGTGCATCACTATGCTCTATATGTTTTCTGAAACGTGAGTGGACACAGCTTCAACACTTTTGGCTCATTATACCTGAATCTGTCAAACTAAATATGTTTGTTCTTCTTTTTAGACATTTTGACCGAGGGATCAACGAGTGGCTGTGCAAGTAAGACTGTTACGTTTATAAAATTTTAGTAAAAACCTAAAAACATCTTATAGTGTTTGTTGTAAAGCATCAGATGATATCTCTTCTCTGTCAGCTGTTCTGATCTGTAGGATAATACTTTCAGAGTGAATCTATTCTTCTACTTCCTGGATCTGCTTCATGGTTTTCACTTTCTTTGCTTCATTTGTTCTGTTTTTAATTCAGCAGGTGAACCTATATGTTCATAAAGTAGTGTGTGTGAGCTTCACTGTGTGGGTTAAACTGAAACGGAGCATTTCCTGTCAGCTCAGATTTCATTTCTGCTTTTTCAAACTGTAGTATGTGCTCGTGTTAGGGCTGTGCAATTAATCGTATTTTAATCGGAATTACGATTTTGGCCTGCCACAATTACAAAAACGACATAATCGGAAAAAACGATTTGTTGTGAAAGTGCACTGCAAAATATTTGATCTAATTTATTTTAGTCTATTTCATTTTTATTTATCATATTTATATATGTTTAATACTTTGTGGGAGTGCGCTCCAAAATATTTGTTGATCTTGTTTATTGGTATTTATTTAAATATATAATTTATTTAATTTATTTGTGTCTTGGTTTTTCAGTTGAATTATACGTTCAGGGTAATCAACAGTTAAAAAGATACTGTTCAAATTATTATTTGTTTTAAAGTTCAATACATGGATGTTTTCAAAATGAATAATCGTATTTAATAATCGTGATATCAATTATTGACCAAAATAATCGTGATTATGATTTTTGCCATAATCGAGCAGCCCTAGCTCATGAGTTTCATCGTTGCCGCCTGATTGTCTGCAGGTACGTGTACGATCACCTGGGAGGGAAACATGAGAACGTGGTGGAGGAGTTGGTGGCTTCACTTTGCACCTTCGGGGTCACCATCCTGTGGCTCGGACCCTGCGAGGTGGTGCTGGTCTGGGCTTTCTTCAACTGCTTCGGCCTCAACTTCGAACTGTGGACCGCCAAATTCTTCGCCATGGAGCCTTTCGCTTCTCTAGAGGTTTGTCTAAGTGTCGAGATCTTGTTTTGTTTTTTTCAGCCGAACCTGAGAAGCTCGAGGGCAATACATTTACACAAGAATATTTACTTCTACTGAAAGCCAACATCATAATCCTTATTTTAATTCTGACACTTTTAAACGAATGATGTTTTACTCACAGATTGGAATGTCAGAAGCAACGTCCCGCCGCATCAGAGCCGTCTTCAACACGTTCAACTTCTGGAGCATCGTGCTGTACAACATCCTGGCTTTAAACAGTTTGGACTTTGCCAAGCTGGTCGCCAAGAGGCTGCTTCTCAAAGGTGATTTATTTCAGTTTGATTAAAAGTCTGTGTCTATCCCTAATCTGCCCAGCAACGATGGTCACGTTCAGAACATTTACCTCGGGTGTCTGTGGGCGAGGCAGCTGGAGTTGTTGTCCCTTAAGTCCACTTATTTGTACGTCTACTTGATATAAGGAACGCATCGACACAGCGCTTACTAATTGGGTTTCTAAAATGTTCTCAGAAGAGTGAATATTATTAGATTTAAAGCCGAGATCTTAAAGCCTCTTCCTTGCATTCCCAGGTTTCCCTTTCACCACCATCATCGTCATGTTTGTCACCTACTGCCTGGTTCAAGTGATCAAGGAGAGGGAGAGGAGGCAGGCTCTCATCGATGATCCAGATCCTCTTCCTCCTGCTGCACCTCCAACTAACACCTCCACAACCTCCTCCTCCCCCCCCACCAGCGCTGCAGCTGCACCCCCCGCTGCTCAACCTGTCGTAGATCCTAGCAAGGAGAAAGCAGAGTAGATGTTGAGAGTATTATGAAGAGTGTTAACGCCAGTGCAGATTTCAAACCCTGAATTGTGAATGAATCCTCAGTTTCTGTTATATCAGTTTACCCTCATGTGTTAATACCTAAAAGAGAGAAAAATGTAATTCACACAAATATTCACCAAAGATTCAATAATCACATTTTACTTTGTCATTACTCCAAAAAAATAAAGTTTGTATAAATGTTTGTGGCTAGTTTCTTTTTCTGACTATGACGAGAGAGCAGTCTTTTTGCAGCACGTGAGTCAGTGTCGAGTCTTGTGTTATGTTTGTAAAGTATTTCTGAAGCGTTACCTCAGCAGCTGGCAGCTCGACTGATGCCTCCACCTGTGATGAATCACTGGACCTGGACATGTGATAAAAGACAAACTGATATTTAATGGGAGTTCATTTCCCATTTTTGTAACTAAATAGCCTGACTACGACCAACTATGCTAATTTGAGCCTTTTCAGACCATTGACATGCACACAAACCTATATCACACACTACAGGAAAGGGGTAATCCACAAAAAGCCGAATAGGGCCACTTTAGAGGGGTTGTATATAATCATTTACTGTCAAAGTCAATCTTAAAAAAGACATTGCAATGAATATAAATTGTATTTTTGAAGAAACGCCCAGTAAAACCGCCTGGCTCTGCTCCTGCAAATTACATTCTCCTTCTGCGAGGGACTTTTTGAATCGACACATCGATGTGCTGCTGAGGAGAACGGTGTATGTTGGTGTTATTTTCCCCTCCATAGCAAAGATGGCTCGGACAAACTGTAGCTTGAGATCCATATCACAATGTGAAGTCACATAAATAAAGAATTGAGTCATCGACTTTAATGACTCAGAGTCTGCAGGGGGCCGCCTGTTAACCCACTTACTGCAGATACACCCATGACTCAGGATGGACATATTTCCCATGAAGCACCATGTCAGCTGTCAGAGTGGGTGGATGTTCCTGGGGAGTGGGTAGGGTGGAGTTTAGAGGAAGGGAAGAGGACTGTTGGTGTGGTGGTATTGCATTTCATGCTCCAGAATGAAGCTCCAGACTGAGGCCCCGGGCTATAAATAGGCTCCCAGATGGAGCTCAGTTGAAGGGTCAGGACAGCTGGGTGGGAGTGTCGGGGTTCAGCTGGTGAGGGTGATCGCAGTGTCTCTGAATCCAGGCTAGCAACTATAACTCTGCTGTAGAGAAGAAGACCCACTTCTGTTTGATTTGAAGCCCCTGAAAGGCTCTTCTTCCAGGAACCATGGCTCTGCCCATAGACCCCATGGATGAACCCAGGATGTACCAGCAGACGCTGCTGCAGGACGGCCTGTTCGAACTGCTGGAGAACGACAAGCTGGTGGACTGCGTGCTGAAGATCAAAGACAAAGAGTTCCCCTGCCACCGCCTGGTGCTGTGCGCCTGCAGCTCCTTCTTCCGCTCCATCTTCCTGTCCGACCTGGAGGAGAGCAAGAAGAAGGAGATCGTGTTGGAGGACGTGGAGCCGGGCGTCATGGGGCTGGTCCTCAAGTACCTGTACACCTGCAAAATCAACGTGACGGAGCAGAACGTCCAGGACATCTTCGCCGTGGCTAACGTGTACCAGATCCCTTCCATCTTCACAGTGTGTGTGTCTTTCCTACAGAAGCGCCTGAGCCTGAGCAACTGCCTGGCTGTGTTCAGACTCGGCCTGATGCTGGACTGCCCCAGGTTGGCGCTTTCTGCCCGAAACTACGCCTGCGAGCGCTTCCAGCTGATCTCCAGAGACGACGAGTTCCTCCAGCTGCTCCCCGGCGAGTTGGCCGCCATCCTAGCAAACGATAATCTGAACGTAGAGACCGAAGAGGCCGTGTTCGAGGCGCTGATGAACTGGGTGGGTCGGGACACGGGGAGCAGAGAGAAAGAGCTGCCGGGTCTGCTGGACTGCATTCGCCTGCGTCTGGTCAGCCAGGATTACCTGAAGGAGACGGTGGAGAAGAACGAGCTGATCTCCAATAGCTCAGAGCTGCAGCAGAAGATCCAGGTGGTTAAAGATGCGCTCGCTGGGATAATGCCAGAAGTTAAAAAGAACAAAAGCACGGAGAACGGAGGAGTGGAAGGAGAGGATGAGGAACAAGAGGAGGAGGAGGGTCTTCTCCCGGGAATCCTGAACGACACGCTGAGATTCGGCATGTTTGTCAGGAACTTGATCCTCATGGTGAACGAAGCCGGGGCCGTGGCGTACGACCCCACAGGGAACGACTGCTTCCTGGCTTCTCTGTCCACACAGGTGCCCAAGAACCACATCAGCCTGGTGACCAAGGAGAACCAGATCTTTGTGGCGGGAGGATTATTCGTCGACGAGCAGAACAAAGAAGATCCACTGTGTTCCTTTTTCCTACAGGTAGGGGAGGCTCTAAATAACAGGGTACACTTTTTTACAAATGATTTTCCTTAACCTTTACCTAATTTTCCATGACCAAATAAATTACTCTCTCAGCGGTACCACTGAAAAGGGTTTATTTTAACAAAGGAAAATAAGATCTGAAACATGTTGTACCTATCTAAAGCAAATCAAATAGGCTAACTAGCTTCTTCACGCTAAAGCAACTAAAATCTCTCACAAGCAAAACACCTCGTCCGTTAAATGCCATTTCACGTTTCATTATACGATACAGTATTTATTATCAGTATAGTATTACTATTTCGGCGATTAGATCAAATATTAATTATATTTGATGCAACTTTAGTTACATTTCCATGACTTTTCCAAAATATTGTTTTCCATAACTTTCCAGGTTTTGAATGACCGTCAGAACCCTCAAATAAGGATTTGAGATAAGAGATAGCACTAAACATTATTTTTTTTTTTGTTCTTTATTATATAATATAACATCCGTACCGCTAAAAAAAATTGAAATATTTTGATGGTAAACCTTTTAGAAGCAATGTCCTCGAGGCGTTATACTTTTTGGGGGTTGTGTTATATAGATTTGTGTGCATGTAAATGGTCTGCAAAGTTTCTATATAAGAAAGACAAAATCTGTTTTGATGATAAAGTGCAATGTCCTTTATTATTTGGCATTTTTAGGTTAAATATCTCACTTTATGTCATTTGAACAAAGTTGAATAAGATGTGTTTTCCAGCCTTTTACATGTAGCTACATACAGGGGAATAAAAAGGGACCAACTATGTATCAGGGGTTTTAACCTGAGTACACGTACCTGCAGTGTTTGTCTACATGTGGCGTACCTACGACCCCATTCACAATTGTTTGACCTCCTGTGACCTCAGTATGACCCGGTCAGTGCTGATTGGCTGGGGATGCCCCCCCTCCCGTCGCCCCGCTTCCTGTTTGGTCTGGCCGAGGCCGAGAATTTCATCTTTGTTTTGGGAGGGAGGGAGCTGAAGGAGACGGAGTGCACGCTGGACTCAGTGCTGGTCTACGACAGAGAGTGAGTATGAGTTCAAGTTACTGTAAATAAATCTGCTTTTCTCTGGACTGAATCCTAATGTATTTATAATTCTACAGATCTTTTAAATGGGGGGAATCGGAGTCACTTCCCTGGCCGGTGTATGGCCATGCGACTGTATCCCACAAAGATGTTGTTTATGTGATTGGAGGGAAGGGAGACAGCAAGTGAGTATTAAGTGCAATCAAAACATCTGTAGCTAGTGCAAATACTTTTTCTTCATGATGCTCTTTGTCTCTTGTGAGAAGGACCTGTCTGAAGAAGATGTGTGCGTACGACGCCAGGAGATTTGAATGGAAGGAGCTTGCACCCATGAAGGTTGCACGCTCTTTATTCGGAGCCACTGTTCATAAGGATCAAATATATGTGGGGACAGGAGTCACCGACGAAGGGCTGACGGACACTTTGGAGGTGTACGACATCGCTACCAACACGTGAGTGCCCCGAAGTCAGACAATTAGGCAGATAATCAATCAATCAATCAATCAATCAATCAATCAATGATGCAGCACATTCAGTTTCTGGCCCCAAGGAAAGACTTTGCAGAAAGAGGGAATGAAGAGATATTGTTCACATTTCCTTTAGTTAATTAAACTGCAGTTACATTTTCACAACACAAGGGAAAAACACTCTGGCTTTAAAGAGGACATATTCCTTTGTGTGTGTGTGTGTGTGTGTGTGTGTGTGTGTGTGTGTGTGTGTGTGTGTGTGTGTGTGTGTGTGTGTGTGTGTGTGTGTGTGTGTGTGTGTGTGTGTGTGTACATTGTTCAGGTGGTCAGACTTCGTAGCGTTCCCTCAGGAGCGCAGCTCTCTGATGCTGGTGTCTCTGGCCGGCCAGCTGTACGCTGTGGGAGGTTTCGCCATGATGCCTCTGGAGGACAGCGAGGAGATCCTTCCCAAAGAGATGAACGACATCTGGAGGTGGGTCACAACACACACATTCATACATACATTTATTAACTTATCCATAGTGTTCCTCACCGTCACGTTGGATAAGGTTGACAGAAGAAATAACAGGAAGTCAGGCAATAGCATTCCAATGGCACTGTTTAAGGGTTTTTCAGGGTGTGTTTGAGTTTTACCTTAAGTCTTCTGTCCTTCTCAGGTTTGATGAGACGGAGAGGAAGTGGACGGGGGTCCTCAGAGAGATCCAGTACGCTGCAGGGGCCACGGTTCTGGGGGTCCGCCTCAACACCCTGCGTCTCACTAAGATGTAAAACCCACTCCAGTTCCTGCTCGTTAACAAATCTGTTACAGCGACATCAACAGAGACTTTGAGACTCATCTGTTTGATATCACACAATGCAATAGAAGTTTTATGTGGTTCTGGTTTAAAATCATGCACAATTTTCAGTTTTGATTGAATACGTTTTTATATATGTGTGTTTCTGTGGTTTAAAACTGTAAACAAACTGTACCCTGTTGGCCTTTTTGCACTGTAATGAAATAAAATGTTTAGTCATGACAATCATGGAAAATGTGTTTGCAACAAGCTTTACATTTCCCAACAGATGGAAGCAAAGTCATAATCTAAGAGGAACGAACATGAACAAAAACACAGCACACGTCTCTGTTTGCAATAATATATCTATATTGTTTAATATTTAAATGATGTCATTACGCTCTGCTGTGTTACAGACAGTAAACACTAGTCAATAATACAATAAAAGACAGAAAATACAGTCTAATGTTATTAGCACCTCTAGACACTACTGTCCTCGAACGGGTTTTAGTATTTTAATATAGCTGAACTACTGCC